TTCCCTGAAACAGGATTCATGTATGACTTTTATTCAGTCAAAGACATGAGTCTTCTCCTAGTCATGTCTTTCCCACCACCCAAAGTACCACGGCTAAGAACTTGTTCCTGATGTTGCCACTTCACATTCTCCATCTTAATCCTGCTCTAATAGTTCAACTTCACTTCCTCAAAAATGATTTTTCTTACTTCCAGTTTAGATCAGATTCCCCTTCCATACATGATTAGGCTCATAGTACCTTTTTTTCCCTTTTATTTCTCACAGTTCATAATTACATTTGCGTGGTTATTTGGAATGTCTGTGTCCCACATTCCATGAGAGACTGTTTCTGCATTTCATATCATTTTATTGTCAGAGACTGGCAATTAGTAGAAACTCAGTAAGTATTTGTTGAATGAATGAATGAATGAATGAATGAAGTTCAAGCTCAAATCCCATCCTCTCCAAAGACATTCCTAACCTCTTTAGCCACAGTGATAAATCCCTCTCTTGAACTTGAGGCGCTTATTGATGGTACCACTCATTTATCCCATGGAATCATAGATCCATAGAATTCTATAGGAGTTCAGAGGTAGCAAGCTTTATACTGTAAATAATGTCTGTAATTCATTGAAATAAAATTTTTGCTTTTATTTTTGTGAATACCATCATTAGTGATGGGGAGTTAATCTATGAAGTGTTTTGAACAATCTTTGGACTTACTCGTATGTGTCAAGATTTTTCTGATGTTTAGCAGAAATTTACATTCTTGTGATTTTCAAAACAAATTTGGTTCCTAGGCATAAAAGAACAAGCGCATTCGTTTTACTAATGATGGTCCTTCAGATTGTCGAAGATTGCTCTCTTGCACAATCAAAACACAGCCCCTCCTTCAATTACTGCTTTTATGCTGTGGTTTTCAGCTCTTTCATCATCCTGATTTACTCTCCTGTGAACTGACTCTAGTTTGTCAATGTCCTATTTATTTATTTATTTATTTGACAGAGAGAGAGAGAGCACAGCAAGGGGAGCAGGAGAGGAAGAAGCAGGCTCCCCGATGATCAGGGAGCCCGATGTGGGGCTCGATCCTAGTACCCTGGGATCATGACCTGAGCCAAAGGCAGACGCTTAACCTACTGAGCCACCAAGGCGCCCCAGTCAATGTCCTTCTTAAAATAAAATTACTTTTGTTACCAGTAATTTTATTTTTTTTAAGGAGCTATTCAAATGTCATAAGATGGTAGTATAAGACTTAAAATTTCTATAAATTTAGAGGTTCCTCTAAGAATAAATTTGTGATGATTCTTTAAATCTTTAAGTTCAAAAATTTGAAAAGCTAACTTTAATTAAGTAATAGATATATTTTTCTGGCAGCTGTCAAACGGTTGTTGGAGGATTGCTTAGATCACATAACCAAATCTATTCCTTATAGTTTAAGATTATCTGGCTTGCTCTGACCACTTGCTAGTTGAACTTCAAAAGGATTTAAACAAATAAGTAACAAAATACCATGTTTGTTTTAGTGTGAGGAAAAAGTTTAGTCCTATGGCTATTACCTGCTAGGAACTAAACCCAATGTTTTTTTTTTTTTTCCTAAGATTTTATTTATTTATTTGACAGAAAGAGAGAGAGCGCACAAGCAGGGGGAGTGGCAGGCAGAGGGAGAAGCAGGCTCCCGCTGAGCAGGGAGCCCGACTGGGGACTCCATCCCAGAACTCCCGGATCATGACCTGAGCCCAAGGCAGCCACTCAACCGACTGAGCCACCTAGGCGCCCCTAAACCCAATGTTTAATAATAATAATCAGCTCTTTCCTGGGCTAAACAAAATGTTTTGATGTGGTTGGTACAAGCCTCTAATGAGGGTATTAGCCTTCATTTAAAAACGATCATTAGTTTGAGTTGGCATTACAAACATTACTAAATTGCTGATAATATCCTTCATTACCAGGCAAGAATTGTCCTTTTCAGTCCTCTACATATAATTTATCATTATGCCAAGAATATTATAAGAAATTGTAAAGTAGCTTAATCGTTCAGTCTCAAAAGAAGGCAATGAATGCTACAGAAGAAAAAGTAGCAAATAAAATAGAATTATATAGAAATAAGTTAGAAAACGTAAGGAGGGCTTGAGCTCCTCTACTTCTGAAGTGGTTTTACTATCTGGCACATAGTTATGATCATTAAATGTTTGCTAAATGAATAAAAATGTTCAAGCACTAGGGATAATTCTACAGTGAGGACAACAAATTATAAGGAAGGTAGTTGGCTTAACCAGAATATCTTGTAATTTATTTTCAATTTCCATTTCAATTTTTACTATTTATTTTTTATTTATTTTTATTTATTTTTAAAGATTTTGTTTATTCATCTGAGACACAGATACAGAGAGAGAGAGAGAGCATGAGCGGGGGGGTGGGGAGGGAGGCAGAGGGAGAGGGAGAAGCGGGCTCCCCGCTGAGCCAGAAGCCCGATGCGTGGCTCGATGCGGGCTCGATCCCAGGACCCTGGGATCATGACCTGAGCTGAAGGCAGACGCGTAACCGACTGAGCCACTCAGGCGCCCCTACTATATTTTTAATTTCAACATTTTTGAGAACTCAGTATGAGTTCAACATAGCACTATAGTCATTAAAAATACGCAAATATTTTAACATTGTGTAATTTAATCTTATTAACCAAATTTATATATTATAAATTACTTCTTTTTTCCCCTTCCTTCTTTCTTTCTTTCTTCTTTCTTTTTCTTTCTTCTTTCTTTCTTTCTTCTTTCTTTCTTTTCCCTTTCTCCCTTTCTCTCTTTCTTTCTATGAAAAATTCACTTGGGATATTTAGGTAATAGTATTTTAAAGTAGCCCATAAATGAGCTATTGGACCTGGATAGAGACAGCCATAACAACATGTTCAAGCAACAAAATGAACAAAAGAACCTTTGGAATGTATCTGGTTGTTCAGAAATAGGAGGTTCTTTCTTTTTTTTTTTTTTTAAGGCTCTAAGAAACTAAAATTCCTTTTTAAGGATTTTGTTGCTACCTTTCCTACAAAAAATTACCCAGATTACTCTACTTTGAGAACACAGGAAGTCTTGCTATACAATATTAAGTAACTCAGTAGCTCTGAAGCTTACAGGTAGTTTTTTATCTGAATAGTATATCCTAAATACTGTATGTAATTCCTGAATTTCTTGTACATTTGAACCTATTCCATCCCTGGATTATAGTATATATTCCTTATATAAACTTTTAAGAGAAAAGGCATTCAAGGTACATTTTTATATTTTACATACATATATAAAATAATATATATAGATATATCCTGTAAGCAATAATTGAAGTTTGAAAAATATTATCACACTTGCAACTTTCATACTTGGAAAAACATATACTAATTTGAAATTATTTTTGGAAGATCTATCATAAGCCAAATAAGTATGTGAGAATCCAGGACAACTTACAAAAATTTTCTTCAAAAAGAAGGTAAGTGTTTATGCTCAGGGTCCAGTTTGTTACCAACGAAAGCCCAGAAACAGCTAGGAAGCCTACTCCACTTTATTTATTATGATAAGAACCATTTGAGCATCATAGGCATCATATTAATCGAGGTGATCACTATAACTTCCAAACTCATTTTAGAGTAAATACAAAAATTCTACACTAAAGTAAAGCTGTTTTGACTTGAGATAAGTCTGATAAATAATTTTGAAAATGTCCATCAATTTATTATTTTGCAAGCAGTTTTTCAATTTTTCTGCTATGCACTGTTTTAGGCACTGAAGTACAAAAATGAACACAATATAAAATTCTTGCCCTAAGGGAGTTCAGATTTTAGTGAGGGGTGTCTTTTTTTTCTCTTTTTCGCAGGTATTTAATATGTAGTTTTCATATACAGTTAGGGAAACAGTATGTTACAGGACCCAAAGAAAAAAAAAGAAGCATTAGTTGAAAGACGTTGGAAGTGGGTTTGTCTTGACTGTACTCTGAATTGGTTGTTGAATTAAATTAGCGTTTCAGAAGTATCTATTTAAATCCATATTGCTGACATTACAGTGAAAGCAGTGAAACTTGTCAGCAGATGATTAAGTTTTATGGTTGATGTCCACACTTTTGTAGCTTGGGAACAGTATCAAGTTTCTGGGAAAAACATCCTTCCTCTCTCCCCACCCTCCCTCTATCATTTCATCAGGGGCTCAGTCTGTTGGTGTTAGGTGTGTTCTCCAAATAAAGGTGTATCACAATTATTCTTTTTTCATTTTTCACTTAGCATGAGAAGAGTTACTTCAATTTTTCAGTTTTTTTTTTTCTTTCCTCCTGGGACAGGAAGCTTTTAAATTGTTGGTTTATTATATATTTCATTAGGGAAAGTCTGCACTTGACTGGCTACTTTTCCATTCCCAAGACCACCAGTTACTGGTATTAGTTCTGGGTGAGTGGAACACCCTTTACAAGCAGCTGGAGGAGGGATGCATGTTCCTAGATTACTGACTTTCCACCGACTAGTCTTTTAGGAAAGCTACACTGTTCCCACGGAAATTAACAACCATTCAACTTGAAATCTTAAGGCCAAAGTGGGGGAAAAATTGGATCGTTATGGGCTGGGTTACTGCTTGAGGAGGGCAGGCGGGAGTTAATGAATGGACAGAGTGTCAAAATGGGACTTTATTAAACGTCTCATTAAAACTGCAGGAAAAACGAACCTCTCCTGGTCCCAGAGGACTAAAAAAAAAAAAAGCTTCAAAAACCCAACTTCAAACAAAATTTAGGAAATATAGGAGGCATAAATTCAGTCTGGTTGCTTGGAAGACCACCTCCCCTGTCGCCTCCAGCCTGAAAGTGGGCACAAGTGTGACAATTTTGCAAAAACAGCTTCCAAAACTATTTTTCAACGAGAAACGGTGCGTCCCAAGAACTTCAGGGTGTTTCGAAAGCACGACACGCAGCCAAACGTTCTCCCTCCGCCGCTAACCTTTCCGCCTTTCCCAGCCCGCCACTCCCCCTCCACCGCAGCCTCCAGCCAGGGGGCGTTTGTTTACGTGACGTCAGCCGTAGTAAGCAGTCCCCGCCCCCGTTTCCCTCTGGCCGCCTCGTTTCCCGCGCCGCGGCGCTTCTCCCCTTAAAAGGACAATAGAGGCCCCGGGAGCGCGCGCGGCCGCCGGGCCTTCTCCCCTCCCAGCCCTCTACGCGCGCGCGCCCGTATGCAAATAAGTTCGATTCAGGAGAATTTTGTACCGGGAGACGCGCGTGCGCAGAGGGAAAGCGGAATCTACACCTTCCCGGCCAGCGGTAGCAACTGCAGAACTGCAGGAGACAATCTTTCTAGACAAGGCAGTTGAGGAGGAGGGAGCGATTGGAGGGGGGGTTGGCTTGGCGTGCACTCCGCACCTCGGGAACGTTATTGCGTGTGGAACGGCTGCCTTTGGAAGGTGAGTGACTCTAACCATTACTCTGGTGCAAAACTGTCTCATAAGGCTTTGATTTCAGAGTGTTTTTTTTTTTTTTTTTCCTCTTTTCACCTCCCCCACCTCCCCCAGTCCTTCCACACACACACACGCACACACACACGCACGCACAGGAAGTTTTGTCTTGGAGATGGCATTGCTGGGAGCAATGTTCTCGTGATCTTCAAACCCCGGGTTCTTTTGTATACACATGTTTAGTGTGTCTTTTTAATTGGGGAGGGTACTGGAGGCAAACCGAAAGTCTTGGGGTGGGGGAAGTGAGTGGAGGCTGCAAACGAGTGAGGAGTCGCCGGAGTTGAGGGATCCACGTTGAAGGTGACAATGACTTTTCTCAGCCGTAGTGTTCTCTGGCGGAAAGGAGCTCGGTGGCTGGAAGGCCCGAGAGAAAAACGACTTGCTGCCAATTGCGGAGGGGCCCCGGGCTGGTGCATCCGCGTGGGCGCGCGCCCCGGGAGTGGTCGGGCGCTGTGGTTGAACCTCGTGGTTTAGTTTCATTGCAGCCCCCCGCGCGTGTTTGAGAAGGGTGGACAATAAACGCCATTCGCTCGGAAACTTAAGTTGCCGTCTACTTGCGAGCTGGCGGGCGTGAGGGGGTTTTAAATCGGCCATTTGGGTCAGCGCCGGTGTGGCCGGGGTGCACGCGGCGTGGCGTTGTTTGCCGAACTCCGGAGGGATGCGGATGCGACAATGAGAGCCAACACGCGGCAGCTCCGAAGCAGCCCGGCTCCCAACGCCTCTTCCCCCCCGGACCGCGCCCAGGCAGCGCGGGGGGGCCGATGTGTCTGTGGAGCCTCAAGTTTTGTTCGCAATTTATTCACCTGTAGCGTAGATGTGGGCGCCACGGCGGGGGCTTTCTGGGGTAACCGTGTGCGGCTTAAGATGGCCAGTCAGAGCCAAGTTGACTTGGGGATGGAGGCTGCGGCGTTGTCTGCGCCAAAGGAGTGAAAGAACTCTTGAGGGCACAGCTTTTTGTGCTGAATATGACAGACCACGTGCTTGGGGCTGCGACCCTGGTTTTCGCCGGAGGTCTGTGTGAGTGTCCGGCTCCGGGCCGGCAGTGAGATGCGGGTGGTGTTGGGGCCGGCCGGCCGGCAGGACAATGTGATTTGCTGATGATGGCGTCTTGCCAGTTTAAAAAGCAGAGTGAAAGTCGCCAACTCTCCGCTGGTGCGGGGCGGGTAATCGGGCGTTTCTCATCAAGGACACTGAAAAACTTTGATTAAATGGGCTTGCTGCTGAGGGGAGGAAGGGGGGACAGGCTCTGGGCTTTCGGGGCGCGGGGCCCGGACCCTTCCCCAGGGTGATCGTCAAGTGTCTCGCCTCTGAGAAACAATCCGACATCCCTGATGCTGCACGTAGGCAGCGCCCGGCTGGACAGAAAACAAAGAGCTGCATGTGCCCGTGCGGGCCCCGCCGGCGCTCGGGGCGGCCGCGGGGCGGAGGGCCGTGCGGGCCCGGGCCCCCGAACTTCGGGCGAGTTTCGAGAGGGGCTTTTGTTCTTCAGCCCCTCGCGGGGAAACTTTGGCGGCGCTGCTGGTGTGAGGTGCCATGCTGGTGCGCGGGGAGGCGGCGTGCTCCGCGCTCCGGGCGGGCAGGGAGGCGGCGGTCTTGGGGCCCCGGCGCTTCAGCACGGGCGCCGAGTGCCGCGACGGCCGAGGGGCCGGGAGAGCGTGGCCCCGAGTTCTTGGCCCGTTACCCGTGGCCCGGAGCCTGTGTTTGGGAGGTCTGTGGATTCGCCTTTGAAGTCGAACTGTTGCCATGTTTGAATTACGTCAGGGCAAAGCCATGAGGAGGAACAAGCCCCGGCAGCGCGGCGTGCGGGAGGCGCGGCCTGCGGGAGGCGCCGGGCGGGCGGGCGTGCGCGGGGGCCCGTTGTTCCGGCGCAGGTGAGGGAGGAGGCGGCGAGGGACGCGGGTCACCTCCTGCCGCCCTCGCCCGGGCGACCAGCTTTCCGCAGGAACTTTCCGACCCAAGTTGTTCTATTTACCAACAAACCCACCGGGGAGCGTTTCTATTTGCTGCCGTGGTGCCTCTCTCTCGGCCGTCACCGCGTGCCGGGGTGGGGGGGGAGCGCGTTTGGGGGGGCCGGAGGGCCGCGGGAGGACTGGGGAGGCATCTTGCTGCTTTCTGGGAAGCCGGTGCGTGCGGCGAGCACCCCCAACCCCCCGCAGTCGAGCCGTGGCCCGCACGTTAAGGGGACCCAGCCCCGACGACACCCGAAAAAACCACCATGGGGAAGTTTCGGGGCTCCCCGTTGTCCTACAAAGGGAAGTGAGGACTGTAGCTGAATTGTGCGTGCTGCCGTTTTCTTTGTGTGTTTACGTGTGGGAGGGGGATCCGGGAGGGGCGAGGTTTGTTTTGGTTGCGGGTGGGGTTGGTTTCTTGGGGTGGCAGGGCGGTGCAGTTTGTTCTGGTAACTAGACCTAGTAGGTTTCTTTGTTTTTATTTTCTCCGTCTAACCTGGGGTAACCACAGGCGCTGGGAAGACTAGGAATTACTGATTAGACCAATACGGAGCCTGTGTGAGGCAGTTTTACCCCAGCAGTACTCCCCCAGTCCCCACGCCTCACGTTGTCGTAAGGAGGTTGAAAAAACTTTTCTTCTTCTTTTTCTTTTAAAAATTAAAAATATGAATTTGACCTTGTCATTAAAAGTACACTGAAAGCACCTGTTTTTGAACTGGAGTTTGCCAGACTTGAAAAGCCTTTTAATAATGTGGGTCGCAAAACCGAACATGTTTATTTAGTTGCTCAATCTAAAGTCTGGGAGTTTGTTTCTGGTGGAGTTGGAGAAAAGCCTGATGGCATTTAAAGTATTTATATAACCATTTGGGGAAGGGGAAAATCTCTCTTAGGCCTAAAGGTATGCCTGGCTCAATGTTTGGTGATTGTTCACTGCGTTATCTTAGGATGACCTTGAAGAAGCTAGCTCGTAGGGAGTTGGGCCTTTCTTGGAGATTTTATATGGGGGTTGGGGAGGAAGCTAATCAGGGGGATGACAGGGTAAAAGCCTATACTATCCCTGCTAGCTGCTTCCTAGTTCCTGTGAACTGGGGTTGACCTTCTGGTTACCCCTCTTAGATTTTCTTTTCAAGCCAACTTTTTTTTTTTTTTTTTTTAGTGTGGCCCCAGGCATAGCTCAAAAATTATGCTGGTTTGACACATGGATGCTTCTTTGGTATTTGGGGTTTGCTTGCAGTCTAGACAGCCGATAAGCAGCACCGTATCTGCTGCTTCTTTCCTGATTTCTCCTGCGTTTGGATCATGTTTAAGGGTTAGAATCTAAAAGTGGTCGTTACCAAAAAATAATATCCTTAGATGCCACGCCCAAACAACAACAAAAAACCTCTACAAATTGTGCTTTTCATTGTTCTGTTATTAAATAGACATGTTTCTCCCAAGTTTTGGTTGACCAAAGTACAAATACTTAAAGGCAGCCAATACTAGTAACAGTACATTTCTCAAGTGTGTAGAAGGAACATGTCAAAAAAATGAAAAAGTTTGTATTTAATAACTTTATGAATTTCTTTTGTGCAGTTATTTCTCTGGGTTATTTAAGAAGCATAAGAGATGCTTTAAGTACACTAAGATTCTTTGATTTGTTTTTCTTAATTAGTATTTTATATCTGGGATACAGCTAGAATTTCAGGGTTCTGGGAGATTTCAAATACAAGAGCTTAATAGTTTTTACTTTACATATCACATGATATGTGCAAGGGAGATTTGATTTATCAAGGTGAATGAATGGAGAGTGGGAAAGACTGACAGCAAGGTCTACCACCTTTCTTTTTGCGTTACTTTTTGAGGGAGTTTGGACATGAAAAGTTGAATAGGTAGCGCGTTCTGGAACTTTGGTGGGCAGCAGGCCTGGGTAGTGTGCAGGGTAGTGTGTAGTACCTGTACTAGGCAGCAGTGTACTGCTGTTGCGCAGTGTTCTTAACTCTACAGGTCTGGAACCTGGATGGTCAATTTATTTTCCCAGTTGTAAGCAGGCCATGGAAAAACCTGGTTCATGGGGCTCAGACTCCAGCAGATTTCTGTCAGAAAAGCAATTTGAGAATGATTTTCCATGTAAAATAAGTTTTTCACTGGTGAAAGCTTAAGCTGACTTGAAATCTAAACCAACTGCATAAGCTCTTAGGACAAATTAATTTACCATGCTAACACATAGTAGGTTGCTTTAAAAATACGACCATTTATTTATTTATTTATACTTAAAGGGAATATAATTGGCTGAGAAAGAAGGGAACCCATTTGTGGATGCACTAGTGGGTGGTTCGGAAGTTGGGTTAAAATGCCTAGGTTTCAAAGCTGTGATCATGTTAAATAAGTCACTTTGTGGTCCAGTTTTCTCCTCTGCAAAATAGTAATAATACTTACTTCACAAAGCTGTAAATAGTTAAGCAAGTAATGTACTTGGTAAATACTGGCTGTTCTCACAACTTTGGGAAGTGGACATTTTACAGGAGACAAAACTGAGGCCTGGGGCCAGTAACATTGCTGGAGGAAATAATTCAGTAAATGTTGAGTGGAAAGAATGAGTGTCTTTGGCCCTCTCCCCCACCTTCAGAAACTGGTTCTGGGAAGACATTGTCTTCTACACCAGGTTGCCTGTCCAGTTCTGATTGAACCATTTTATATCAAAAACTTGTGGAAATCAAGAAAATGCCATTTTCTTTCTTCCTGATTTCTCTGTCCACAAGAGTCCTGGATTTCCCACACTTAGTTTTGACTCTGGAAGGTTATAAATGAAAACATTTCATTGTCTTTGGCTCTTCAGTTTCTTATTTATTTATTTTTTAAAGATTTTATTTGAGAGAGAGGTAGAGAGAGAGCACAAGTGGGCAGAGAGGCAGGGAGAGGGAGAAGCAGGCTCCCCGCTGAGCAGGGAGCCCGATGTGGGGCTCGATCCCAGGACCCTGGGATCATGACCTGAGCCACCCAGGCGCCCCCAGTTTCTCTCTT